TTTTTTTGCTTGATTTGAAACTATCAACATCAGCATTTAGCGCGAAATTTGCTAACTGTATCATGCGCACTTAGAACAAGTTCTAAGTTTCGTTATGAGAAATTTACTAGTGTCTCTTCCACGTGTGCTTTAGTTTAATACAGCTCCTTCGAAAGACCCGGCGGCGTTCCAATATGGGCTTCATGTGGGAATACTCACATCGCCATGTTGTTGGCGCTTGTTGCGACTGCGCACGACAAAGAAGATGGTTGCGCAGACGGCTACCGCGACAACACCGCTGACCACCACGATAACAACCAAATTGGTCGAGAAAGCCTGGGACCCTTCTTGGTCGTCAGCTTCACCTAAAAATTAAGAAAATAACAACAATTATGTCATAATTATAATAAACCATAAGACATTTTATTCTTTTTTGGCAAGGTAAAGAGGCTTATGCGAATCAGGTCATTTAATTTTCTGCGTTTTGCAAAACAACTACCTCTCAGGAACTAAGTGACGTCTCGTTATTTCTAAAAAATACTTTTGTTAAACAAGGGTCTACTGAGAAACAACTTCAGCCAAGTAGTCAGAGCGGGATTTGAACTCGCGACTTCCGGATTTCAGGTCTGGCGCCCTAACCACTGGACCACCACCTCAAGGTCTGACTGCTTCTTTAATGAGTCCATCGTTAAACTGGTTCGTTCAGCGGCAATGAATTCTACTAACCTTCCTCTTCGTTGAATTCTGGCTGCTGTTCTTCGTCTTCGCTCTCAAAAATAAAAGGACCGGATGTAACGCGATAAACCTGAGCTTCATCCACCACATCCTCAAGTGAACGCCTCTTACGGTTAGCAGGATCGCATTGGTCACGTGACGGGCACTCGCATGCTGAATTAGCTTGATCAGCCAGGCAAACTCTCAGTTCACAGTGGATGTAGACCTTGGAACTCTCTGGAAACCCAAAGTACCGATACGTCTTGAACCTGAAGGTCTCTTTGATGCTGTCATCTGTACAGTTGTGGAACAATGTATCGTCCAAGTCTTGGCTCACAGTGTTATTACCACAACTGGAAATAATAATGATAATAACAAATAATAATTAATATTTTAAGAGATGGCATCCAATCACCTAGAGGTGGTTTTCAGGAGGGCCCTCTAAAAAAATAAAAGTCTAAAATGTACTTCAATTAAATGTCTAAAATACAGAATAGTAATAAAAGCTAAAATCATAAGACTAAAACTAAAGTTTAAAAGTAGAACTCAAAGGTTAAAAATACTACCGCTAACTGAGGTTAAATATGGTTTAGTAAAAACTGTTTAAAAATCATTTTTGGCATAAGTTTCTTGAGCTTACTCAGCAGTGAGGCCCAGTCTGTAATTGCTTAAAAATACGTTTTGTTTCTGTTCCATTCCGTACTTGGCTTGCTAATATTTAAGTTGGGCATGTAACCATTTCGGGTATCAGTGTAACCGCGGAAACGGAGGCACATCAATTGGTTAGTATTTGAAGCTCCCATTAAAACTTTGACCTTGGCAGTTTGACCAAGTTTGACCAAGTTTGACCAACCCTCCGCAATGTGTTATTTACTGAGAGATTGAGCTGTTGTTAATGTAAAATGTTTGAAATACTACTTTTTTTAACGGAGTCACTCGCGTTTGTCAGCGACATATTGAATAGCAGGCTCGATCAATTGCAAGCTTCTCAGCTAGCGAGATTTGCTTAGCGACAACTGAAAGACGTACCCGGCTTCCGACTAAATGCTAGTGATTTCGTTTGTGTCGCAGTTATTTTTAATTTGGTGGGTAGTTTCCAGTTTCCCTGACTATCAAAAGGATGAAAAGAGAAAATCAAATTTTAACTGTGTTCATTGCCTGCTAATACGTACCCGTCCACTATTAGGTCAAAGTTATTCGCATTCGCATTTGCGGGATCGGCACTCGACGAAGAAAAGCATTTTACGATGAAGAGATCAAGGTTGGGGTTAGCGCTCTGAGTGTCGACATAAACTTTGAAATACAAGTACTGATCCAGTTCAATTGGATTGGGCACAACACCAGTGTGGTTGGCGTAAGGGTAGGCTTGGAGCGAAAAGGTGAAGAATGCGTTGCCTAGAAGAGAAAACATCAAAATATCGGTATAAGTAGGGAAGATGTACTTGCATTATCTCAGTAAACCAAGTTTTTACTTATTTTTTAAGCATGTTTCACAGCTAAAATGTAAAAAAACCCTGTAGGTTACAGGAAAGGTATTATGTCAAAAGAACATTGGCCAACAAGGGGGAAGCGGGGGAGCACATACTTTTTTCATAAATGGCTGCCAATTATAAATTCTGTCGTGTGTATCAAAACGTAGTATTTAAGTTGACAGCTCAAAAGAATTTTTCCTCTGAAACGAAGTTAGTGAGCCTAATTTAATTGCACACGAAATAATTTTTAGATTGGCAGCCATTTATGAAAAGAGTATTTTGATCTAGGTCTTTCAACTTGTAAGTTTTGGACATTCATTACATTTTGAGCTGAAAGCGTAAGGATCTAAGCGTAAGGGTGAACAGAGGTTGCCTCAGAGAGCACCGGCTTTTTCGGCTTTTCCCTTTTTTTTTCTCAGCGCGTGAAACAAGAGCCAAAGAAACCAGATGCTCTCGCAGGGGAGGAGGTGGGAGGGGAGAGGGGGGTTACTTTCCGAAAATTTGGTTAGGAGGGTGCGGCGAGCTAGCTTCTTAGAAACCTTACGTGCTCATGGAAGATTTACATACTAAACAAACATACTAAACAACTTAAATCATGCAGTAAATGATGAGTAAATAATTTAAAACACTTAAAATGTATTAGTAAGCTTTGCTTTATTAGAACTGACTTTCACATTCGATGAGATAAATTAATGTTCATATGTAAACGTTGTACTTTTAAAGGTCGCAAAATATGTAGCTATTTCATTCTCCATACCTGTGTCATTGTCATTACGGTTCACGATCGGTACAAAACTTGCCATTGACCTGTTTTGGTTGTCGTATTCACACGACACATAGTAGAGGTGATCGTAAGCCCGCAATTGTTGGGTACCACCTGGGTTAGGCTTTGTAGCAATGATTTTCAGAATGTATTTGATGTGATCAGGGTACTGAGTCGAGGTAAATGAACAATCAGGTAGCGTCAGGTTTTCGTAATTGACCATCTCGCCGTCAACATCTAATGTTGGGTCGCATGCGGGATTGTTCTGTAGTCGCCATTCACTCGCGTTCCACTCATTAACATCATCCACGTTCTCTATTTTTATGTCTACAGTGTGATCGTCATTGCAGTACACTATGGCCTGAGGAATATGGCCGGCGCCTGAGATTAATGAAACAACAACAAAAAAAAATCAGGGAAAGTTTGTGCGCATCAAAAAGAGCAGGCGTTGGTGGCTTGTCACCCCTGATTAACACCATGCAGTAAATAATCAGTAAGATAAAGACTATTGCTTGAGAGCAAAGCGCTGTATAGGAGGATCTTTGTTTACAATATTTGCCTCATTAGCATAAGCGATATAGTTTCTGATGGAGCTACAAAAACATCAGTTCTGAATGTTGAAAGAGCACAGCACGATTAACGGTTCCAAGGAATTTGAGCCCGATGTACTGTATTGAATACTTTCTGTGCGAGGCGGGTTTAGAAACTCAAAATTTTACAAAGGAACTCATTAGCGCTTTTGGTACCATAAATTTTTCAGTTTTTTAAAGCCAATTTCTCCTCGGATATTACACCCAAAGAGCCAAAAATATCACCAATTACCAAGTTTCACAAGCTCTTTAAATGTTTGTAGTCAATTTGTGTCTTGATGCCTTCTCTGCGCAAAGTCGTATGTTATTAAATGAGGAAAAATGTAAACAACGACTTCAGCAAAGATTCTCTGATATCATTTGCACTCACTAAAAATTTTAAGATAATCATCTGACACGCTTCCGAAATTATACGTTACAAAGTCTGTGATGTCACATAAATAATAAACAAAATTTGTTGCGTTGCGAAGTGATAGTGAATGACTTGGATAGAATCATGAGAGAACTTTAATTTGTGCATTATGCATTGATGTAGTTATCTTGCCAATTGCTGTGGATTTTAGGACTAAGGCAAGTAAACAAAACGATCAAAGGACAGTTGGTTTTTGATATTTTAAATCAAAGAAAAGCTTCTGTTACCTTTCACAAGCTGGCAGGCAAGAACAAATGTCGTCAACAGAATAAGGTACTTCATGTTGAAGTGTGCAATGCCACGGACTCCTGCAACACCGGATTCTAGTAAAAGACAATGTACATGTAAAAAATTTAATAAATAAATAAATAAATAAATAAATAAATAAATAAATAAATAAATAAATAAATAACTAAACAGAACTCGAGTCATATCATAATTTGTCAATAGTTTGTAGCAAAACTGAAAAATAATACGTAGATACTAACAGCTGAGTATGTAGAAACCTTAAGTAAGAACAAAATATCTTCGCACTTTTTGGCTCCTTGCTTCATCCATGCTCCTTGCAAATTCAGAAAAAAAAAAAAAACGCTGACAGAGTTCTGTCAACGTCCAACTTGATCGCATCAAAATTTTAAACATTAAAACGTTTTTATAACATACAGTAGCGGGCATGCTGATCTTACTTAACTCCCAATGAACCATCATGGTCAAAATCAATCACGCACGACAGAGCATAAATAACATGGTGTGTGCAGTTTATTTTAGCTGCACAGTTTCCGTCGAGTTTACTTGCGAGTTCTTTTTGTTAAAGTTTCGGCAATATGAACATAATTCTGAACAATCCAAAGCCTTCTGCTGACTTTAGGCTTTTACCAAGCAAAGATGGCCACTAAAACTGAAATGTTTTGAGTTTGTTTGTCTATATTTTCATCGAGTATTTTGACTTTGTTTGCCTATATTTTCTTTAATTCGAAGAAGCGAATTTTTCATTGACAATTTTAGAAACCAGATGAAGCGTTGTTGCTATCATGCTATGAAAGAATTGGTTCATGCTTTTAGCTGTGCGTATATCGAGTATATCGAGTATATAGAGTGCACACAAGAGGCTAGAGTTGCGCCCGGCTGCTCGTCGAGCAACTCTTACGCTTCTCTCGTACTCTCCAAACTTTCCGTGTGCATCTACACATAACCCAGTATACGCACGCTAAGCTAGCATGAACCAATAGCAGATTTGCACGTTGTCGTCATTTGACTACAACTACCAGAATTCCATTCGTTTTTTCTTGGTTATTTAAATTTTGAATTCCCAGTGGGGTTTAAATAACAATTGCCCTAATTAGCATAAGAAACAGAAAAAGTGAAGGATTCTGGTAGTTGTAGTCAAATGACGCCATCATACAAATCGCCTATTCTTAAGTTTACCAACAGATTACCTTTAAACAATAGAATTAACAATAAGAGAAACAGCAAAGGACAGTGATAAATGTAAGAAAAGAGAAAATATCATGAAAACTAAAAATAGGAAATAAAGAGGAAAAAATTGCCTTGCTAATGTGTTGAATCTGATCATTTAGACATACGATTTAAAACTGTCAGTGGACGTTTAACATTCTGGGCACCTCATGCAGATCATGACAGGTTTACAGTTCAGTTGCAACAGGTTATGATTGCGGTGACTCCTATTACAATCACTGCGTATGTCAGACTCTGAATTCAACAACGTCATACTCTCCCATTTAATTCCACGGCTACATAAGGGGTTTTCAATAAGTCTTATCATGGTTACTCGTCCATTGTTAACCCATATTCCTCGTTAATTTACGCATCAGTACTGCCTCATTTTTGAGGGTTTCAACCCACGTATTTAGGTTTTTTCCGTTTAGCGTATTTGCATTTGGCCATGGAGATGACATGTCTTAATCAGAAGCTGATATCTTTGGACCTTATTCGTCAATGGTGTTAATTAGGCAAATTATCAAAATTCGGCTTTTTTAACCTGCGTCAAATTCATCATTTCTACATATGCCTGGTTTAATTCCTAAACAGAAAGTAAATCGTGCATTTGATGAAGCATTTATATATCATTTGTATATTTTTATATTGGTCTGGTTGTTGGTGTTTGTTTCACATTTCCTTGCCACTTATCTCGGCTCTTAGCAACAATAGCCCAAAACACAAACGGCACTTTCTGAGGAATGCAATCATCAAACCACTAAGAGCTTCGTCATGAGAAATGATCACGAAAGATGAAATTCTTTTGTTTTTTTTTTTTTCTGATGCCAGTTACACTTTTATCAGAGAAAAGGTACACGTCTTGTGTTAGACATGCTTTTAGGAAAGATTATCATAATTTGAAGCAATCGTTTCATTCACATAGTAAATGATATTAACATGTCCATCAGTGAAAATTTGCATGTCTAATGCTATATATGTTTCTCGGAAAGATTATCAGAGTTTGAAGCATTAGTTTTACTCAAATGGTAAAGCTAATATAGAAATGTTCCTGCGAGGTGACTGTCAGTTAATTTTTCAAAATTAAACTGATATGAAAATCTGTGGTCTTAGGCGAGAGCTTAAAAAGTTGTAAAGCAAACCGAACAGACATTTCTTCGATAGAGTTGCGAATTACTTAACCTAAAACTCGGAGATCAAGAAGAAGGCCCTTAAAAACTAATTAAAACTGGGGTGTTGTTGTTATAAACAGAAATATCCGTTTGTTAATTTCAACCAACTTAATAAACAAGTTCCTGCAAATGAGTGACTTCTTTCGCTTCAGTTGATAGCGAAATTAGCTTTGAAGAGCGGATTCAGCAGCTAATTATATGTTTTGTTGATCGAAAACTCGAGAATACCTGGGTATAATATAACTAACAACTGATAACGATTACGAAATTCAGCTGACTTTGATGTGGCATTCATCTTCAGTAATTCTTCAAAAAGATGGAATGCATTCGCGGCTAAACCGTGCCAGTGTTAACCTGTATTCACTTGGTTGAATGCCACTCCCTTTCAGAACAGGTTGAACTGAAAATTACAGCACGATTCTATATTGCATTTGGCTTGGATTGCACCTGTATACCGCAGTTTACTAAGCCAGACCGAAGAAAAAAGGTTTCACGCCAACTATCTATTAATGCCAAACATCACGATATTTGCGTTTAAGTCCTTGAACAATATCGAAGTATTTTGTGAAAATCTGTTTGTAAAAGTTTCAAGTTTGTTTGCTATTACAGTTAAGTTGGTTATCTAAGCCGAGTTCGGGAGTGAAAAATATTAGTACTTTCCGTGTGCGAAGAGGCATTTCCTATAGTTTGCAGCCCTCACTTCATCAAACGGCGGAGTTGCGCTTTTTTTCTAAAAAAATTTAGACAAAGACTGAATTGCTAACTGTACAACTTACCAAAGTTCGCACCAGGAAATTGGCTCTGGGAATTCCGTTGCAGTGGTAGCTCAGTGCTGAGAAAAAAAAAATAAAATAAGAAAAACGGTTGAAATCGTACAAACTTACAGGCAACGCCTGTCAAAAACATCTGTCAACGCGCATCAAAAATGTAGTTACCTCGCCGAGCAGTGCAGTGGAATGAACGGAGTTCTGCTTTGTGATTTATTAATTATCACCGTCGATGTGACATAAACCACGAAAGAAAAAAATGCCACCAACAAACAAACAAACAAAGAAAGGTATGCGTATTTTTGAGCATTATCAATGCGTAACCATTATAAAACGTCATTACTCTCTTAGCTACGTAGCTGAGTCAAGTACTCTATTGTTTAACCGTGTCCTCCAAAGGATTCTAGAAAAAATGCTTAGAATAGTTTCCAAGTGATGCAGTAACTCAGTGTTGACCGTTTCACAAGCGATGTTTGATTCTAGACAAGGAATTGCCACTCCAGCTGTGTATACTGAAATTTTGCGGCATTTCGATGCTTATGGTTTTATTATAAGATGCGTTACCAAGTTTGTAGACGTCTTTGCAGTGTGAAGCTAATGGGCCGGGGCTGTTAGGCCAATATAACTGCAGTTAACGTTATATTCCCACCTACTAATTTTGCGCATGCGTGATGGCATGCGGTGCAAAAAAATAGAAAAAAGATGTCTCACATTTTAGAAGTTGACTAAAAGCAAGCCTAAAGTAGTTAAGAAAGAAAAGTCACCACAAATTAACAAATTGGGTCAGTACTAAAGTGACAGAGCCATGTATTCAGACTGAAACGCGAGTTTACAGTTGGGCAGTTTCTTCCAAGAAAAGGTAATGTTTTCAAACCAATAACCGTACATTAATATTCAGGATTTATAATGATTTTCTTATGCACGTACAAATAATATTGAAGCGCACCAAGCTAGATTTTCACTGCACATCACAAAAAAGTTCATTACGTCGAAAAACAGATCAGTTTCAACAGGAAAAAGACAGCGAAAGATAATTGAGCCTGCCGTTTCTTACAATCCGCAAATTTAAGTGCAAAACGCCCAGACTGCGTTAGTGTTTAACTGGGCCATGCCATTAAAAGAAGTTTCAAGTCGCAAAATTATATTACGAGCCCGGAACTCAGTTTGTTAATAGCTTGATGAAAGCGTGGGTATTTTTCTGTACTAAACGATGGCAAGGTCACACAGCTGAGCATATGACCCGGAACCCCTTAACAAGATCGAAGTATTAAGTGAGGTTGTCTTTAGATTAAGCAAGTCATCGCAGAATTGTGTTGCAAATCAAAAACGCGATCGGAACTGCAATGAAAAAAACGTTCGAGCTTTTCCTGTGCGTGTTGACGCTTGTTGTAGCCCAACTGTTGAGAAACACGACTGCCGTACTAACTTACTGAAGCGGCTCGAATGTTTTCCGCTGTAGATTCTACTTCAGAAACTCAGCAGAGTCCGGCAATTGGCTACTGAAAAGAAATAATTGGAGTTGCAATCCTGTATCAAAACGGTTACCCCTCTGAGCGCTTTTGCGAAATTTAGTCAGTTTTGCTTTGCTGATTTACAAAGAAGACGATTTGGTTCGTCAAACACAACGTGTACAAGGACATCCGTTGTTTGGAAGCTGGGACGTTATTTCATATTAATTTAGAAACGAAGAGTAAAGAATTTAATTGTTTATGCCGATATTACCTAAGGATTCCAGAAAAAAAAAATGGTTATTTGAAACGAAATTCAGGCACAAGTCGTCACGCTTTTTGAGGCTTGTCAGTTCTTTGCCTTTTATTTGCGAAGTTGTTTACTTGAGAGCATGACTCACGCACTTAAACCTTGCTCGAGGCAACACCGCATTCCAGAAAACATAATCAGCCCACCAGAATTTTCTCGTTTTATTCGCGATTTAAAAATAATTCACCAAATACCGGAGAAAAAAAAGGTTACCGCGAAACTTGCCATGAAGATGTTCGCAAAGATACTTTTTTATAACAACTTTTTGGAACATTTTTCCTGAGACGAGAGAACACTCCTATGTCACTTAAAGAGGCTATACTATCTAAAAATTGTTTTCACGAAATTAAATGAACGTAAGCCATTCGTATTTATATCGCACTTACCAAGTGCTTTGTTTCAATTTTTTTCCAATGATGATGTTTCTCAATAAAACACTTTATACTTGATTAGGAACGATTGTTTTTTTCTTTCACATAGTGATTAAAAGTTGGTGATACTAGCTGAATTTTCGCGAAGTTTCCACTGACGAAATCGTGAGAATCAATTGTAATGAAAAGGAGGCTTTGCCAACTTCGCCGAGCACAGTGCGCGCAAAATAAGGATTTAAAAATACGACATAAATCTGAAGCAAGCCACATCATGATCAATTTCTTGAGCCCGTAAACCTCAGTCAAAACCAGACGATATCAAACTCGAAAAAGTAGAAAATCTTTTCCGATTCTTTTCTCTGAATGGCACGCTCAAAATGTATCTGCTCAAAAGCACATAAGCCTTAATTAATACGTTCATGATGAACGGAAATGTTTTAATTGTAGAATGAGATATTTCTAAACAATGACATTGAATTCGAGTAATTTCGGTTGTCTTGGTCACAAAACATCCTGAGAGATCATAGATTCCAAAAATTCTTCCAGAAGAAAATAAATGAAGCAGCCATAAACGAAACAATAAATAAAAACTACCAATGTGGGAGTATTTTTTAAAAATATTTCTGAGTTATTACTGTCCTCTCTCAAACATCCCTCCCCCCTCTGCCTCCAAAGCTCATGTTGAGACTGAACGGATAAATTGAAAAGCGTAAAACTAAGATTTTTCCCGCAACCTACTCCCGACGGGTTACGGGTTACGACAAGCTCAAACACGCCCGACCCGACTTTGGCGAGATTCCTGTCAGTGACTCCTGATCACTGGTCATTTTGGATTTGTGCTTGAGGAACTGACTCAGACAGGGAAATCAGATGCTCATCGTGTCGATATACTCCGTTTTCAAAATGTTTTCTGTCGACACTATATAACGCAAAGCCGACGTTTTCAAATTCCTCCTGTTTGAAGAGCGTTTTCGAAAATTAAGCCCCGTTTTCGTGATGGATAAGTGTGGACGGTAGGCCTAACCGTAGAAATAAAGCTGCTTTTCAAATTTTTCCGGCTTAGTGTGGCAAGGGCCTCAAATGTCGAGCTACCCTTGTGCCGAAACTTATTGCATATGTATAACAGTATTATTTGGATTTTTCACTGATCCGCATGTAGTGCTTCTACTAGAAGAGAATAAAGTTGAGATACAACTTCCACTGAGATACAAGTACGAACTTTAAACCGAATTGATTTCAACACGACGATAGGGCGACGTTTGAATCACCGAGCCTTGTGGTGTTTCACTTTTTATCGCCAAGAGTAAATCATGCATAAATTTTCATCGATTGCATCGTCACTACTTACAACACAGCAAATATATAATATAACTAAACCGCTTTTCCTGTTCTTTACCTCTCGCTAAAACCCTCATGAACAAGTTGAGGTCTGATCAAGGTTCAGATATTTATTTCCAGCGAACAGGGCCGGGTTAATGACAACTTCAGAATATGAGCCCATGTCAAACTTTTTGTCTTTATTTCATTTGAAATGACCTGCAATAAGTCTATTTTCCAGTTTTTTCATTGCTCTAAGGATTAATTTTAATACAATAACCAGGGAAAATCACAGTTAAGAGATTTACGAGTAAATGTCTTAAATAAAATCAAGTTACATGCCCATCGCATGAGTTTCAAATTTAGACAAAAAGTGACATAATGTCCACTAGGAAACAAAGGTAAAAAAGGCACATGGCAGATCAGTGGAGTAGATTTCATAAGCGGACCGACCGAGCTGCATACCTCCTCTTCCTACAGGAAAAAAATGCCTTCCTTTTAGTCTTGGCATTTGCATTTTTTGGTGGCAAATGTTTCATGGCTCTCATCGATTATTCTGAGTGAATAGCCCCACAAATTATTGTCCAAATTATATTGACTATGTGGGTTTAACTTGATTTCTTCCCTTCAGGAAAAAATATTGGTTTTCAATCATTAGCCTGCGTAGCTGGCGGTTTCGGTGGGAATTTTCGATGCGGACTTTCGTGGCGTGCAACGAGCGTAAAAGGCGAAGCCGTGAAAATTTCGCGACCTTAAATTCCACCTAAAAACCCCACCGAAACTGCCAGCTATGCAGGTTACATTAATATGTACATAACTAATGCGCGTGGCTTTAAAATCAACGCAAACGTGACGGGAAAAAGCTGCGTAAAATGAGTTTGCTATCAATATTGATGAATAAAGAAATATTATGGGTCCGTTAATTAACTTATTAATCTGAAAATTAAACTAAAACATCCGACATTTTTCCAGTAATTATTTTATCGGAAGACATTGTAGGCTTCTAGAAACACGTCTGCTTAACTTGCACGCGCTCAGTAAAGTTCCTAGAATCTTCGGATGAAATCACATACACAATGAAATTCCACCACCAATATTTTTCTATAATGAGGTTTCTAATTGCGTCTTACTTTGATAATTTTCTTTTGTCTTGTTTTCTTCTGTTCAAGCCGCATCAACATCTGGACGAGTAGGCTTACAGAAAGGTAACTTCTGAATGCACGTTTACTGTAAGTTGCTATACATATTTTCAAGGTCTTTGTCTCTTTTGGATTCTCACTCAGGCCTCGATCTTGGCCCGAAGTTCTTCTATGTCCGATGATTGTGCAAGTTGAACAATGTCAAGTCGACCGTCTCCTGCGCTTGATTAAAAACTCTGACTGATTGCGATAGCCAAAAGCTTTCTTTTCGATATGTTACCCTTAACAGTCGAATATGTTCACTTTTCACCTTTAACTTATACATAGTTTCACTTCGCAACCCTAACAAGAAAATTCCGTTTTTTGTCGCACGATGAGGCTGATAACACGATATCACGCATGTTCGATGGCGTGATAACTGTGCAAGAACAAGAATTTCAAGTGGTCTAAAGTTTGTTGACATTTCATATCAACCGAAAACAAACATATTTGTAACAAGAGGTCTTAGTTGTTAGTTAGTTGTCTGCTGAAATTTCACACGACGTATTGTGAACTGCAGTGAGAATTTCGTCCGCGGACTGCAAGTAGTTTGTTTAACCTTCAAAGGGGATGGTTTTTCTTTGGATATTTTCTTTTATTTCTTTTCTTTTCTTTTATTTTATTAGCTTTGCCTNCCCCCCAAAAAAAAAATTACAATCCGGCAATATGTACAGGTTTGGCAGAGACGTCGCAACAGCTAAGAAGCCACGGGTCGTGCACCGGTCCAATATTT